GGCAGAAAAGTAGTTGAAATCAAAAGCCCCTGAGCTCTGAGGAAGAAACATGACTTGTTTTTAAACTAGAGATCAAGCTTCAATCTTAATTTGAGATTACATTTTTAACCTGAGCTTCAAAAGAAAGGTTCATTATTAATAGTTAGGTAGTTTCAGGTTACTTGAAGCAGTTCAGTACCTCAGGCAATTCTGATGAAGAGAATGGTCTCAGATTTACTTATAAATAAAATTGAAAGAAATAAAGCCAGTTTCAGTGGCTTTAGACAGATACTGTATGCTCTGCATCAAAAGCAGATTGCTGTTATTTTGCAAAGATTTAGTGAATTACAGAATTAACTCTATAAAAATGTTAATGGGTGTTTAACGGGTTTATTCACAGATGAGTACAGTGTGAATACGATGAGTCCAAAGATTCAGCTTTGAGCTAAACCTTTTGTGACAATAAGAAAGGTAACTCTAAGTAAGTCATGTAAAGACATTACTTCATACTTGCCAAATAAATAACAAAACAAGGGGCAGGTTGTCTAAATCCCCCCCCCACACAGATCTTTATTTATAAAATCTAATAGATAAATACCATAGTTTTCTTCCACCTAACAATTAGAATAATTTGTGTTAATCTGATATAAAATTTGTGGTTGTAATATGAATAAAGCAAACTTTTAATTGGTAGTAATGCCATTACAAAGCATCACATATGTTTTATTGACAACAGTATTTCAGTATTTAAGGTAGCTGTAATTAAACTTTTACTTAAGAAAATGTCTCTTGACCCAGATGACTTGGTCAATTATAGACCTATATCTAATCTTCTTTTTGTATCTAAAAGTCAGGAAAAGTTAGTTGCCAAACAAGTGTGTTATCACTATAATGAACTTTTTGAATAGTTTCAGTCTGGCTTTAGAGCTCATCATAGCACTGAAACAGCTCTGGTGAAAGTCACTAACGATATTCTCACGGCCTCAGATAATGGATTTGTATCTGAACTTGCCCTGTTAGATCTCATTGCTGCATTTCTGTTATTAAAATAATTTAAAATCATCAATTATCAGTGTGACTTATCAACATCCCGCCCTCAGAAAAACAACAAAAGCAAAAATCCACAATAATATACAGGATTTACAAAACACACAGAGCCTATCAACTACAGCAAATGCTCATGCAAGAGCTATTCCTATATCAAGACAATGTCAGGTGTATACACAAGATGTATTGCTTCATTCCAAAATTTAGCACCATGACATCTGATGTGAAGTTAGAAAGAAGTCGCATCAGCAAAGGTGAATTGAAATGAGCAGCCTGTCTTGTTGGATAATTTTGAAATTGAAGGTTCTGCACTAATTTTGTATGATAAACGGCAGCCATTCAGCATTAAATAGAGCTCTAAGAGCAAAAGTACATGTCAGGAATATATTAATATGAAAGATATTTTAGAATTGCAATTTTAAGAACAAGGGTGAGCACAGCGTTAAGAAAAACAGTTGATCATAATTTTCTCTCGATAGACTGGAACAAGTCAGGAAAAAAGCGGCTGTCAGTAAAATAAATAAAAAATGACAAAAGTAATAATAGATAAAAATGATAAAAATATAGAAATCATAATAATTATTTTGTTTGTTTATATATATATATATATATATATATATATATATATATATATATATATATATATATATATATATATATATATATATATATATATATATATATTAGGGCTGCAACTAACGATTATTTTAAAAATCGATGAATCGGGCGATTATTTTTTCGATTAATCGATGAATCGGACAAAAAATATTTTTTATATTAACCTCTTTATTCCAAAATAAACATTTTAAACACACAAGTACAGGTTGCTCATAAACTGTACTGGTGCAATATGAAAAATAAATTTTTGTGTTAAAACTACGCGAACTTATATAAGAAATGTAGCTGTACATCCACAAAATGTAGGCTACTTTGTTTCATAAAGCGCAAAAAAAGACATTTTTGTTTTTAAAAGCCCCTAAGGGGTTCAAACAATAGGTCCCCCCATTTCAACAAATTAGTTTTTTTAGACTAATAGAGTTCTGCCTTTTAAGACAGGAAAGTATAACAAGTTGCTACTTGAGAAAATACTGAACCATAGAGATAAAAATAGCCCTGTGGTTCAAATTATAAATTGTATTTGGAATAAAAATGACAGAACTAGGGGTGCTAAAAAACACATCCTCCAAAGACAGATATTTACATAGGAATGTGGCATATAATTAATTGACATATTACTGACCTTGCTGGATTTTATTCTGCTTTACTTCCATAAATTGCAGGATCTTCTTTACTTTATCTTTGCCAGAAGATTTAAACTTTAAAAGCCTTGCCCTCATAATTTGCAAGTTCATTTATTTATAAAGAAAATATAAACGCTGCTTAAGCTAATTCAAATGAAATTAAAAGTAAAATAAGGAGCCAACCTTATCACTGTCTGTAACCTACTAACACGGTAAGGAAAGCATCAGATGAGCTACCTGAGAAACTAACGTTACGTTTCCCCACTTTAAAACGAAACAAGCATGGTCGCTCACCCTGCTGATCAGCTCTCTTCACTGCCATCGAAGCCCCCAACGTGTTTCCTTTTCAGGTGCTGCATCATAACAGTGGTGCTTCCATGCCATGTTAATTTGTTTTGACAAAAGTTGCATGTTCCGACTTTTTTCGCTTTACAAAGCGCAGGCTATTTTAATTATTGTGATCAATTTGCGCTGTCAATCCCGGCGCATGCGCGCTTCATTTGCAGTCTGGACGCTGAGGGTAAACATCCTCTGACTGCAGCGCTGAGAGGGACTCCTGCTGGAGAACGGGGTTGCGATGGGGGAGGCGCCCCACGGCAATGACGACGGCGGCGGATGACGCATTAATCGCGCGACACAACTAATCAATGATGAAATTCGTTGCCAACGCTTTTAAAAGTCGATTTTATCGATTCGTTGTTGCAGCCCTAATATATATATATATATATATATATATATATACATATAAGGTTTCCTTCCTGTTAAAAAGGAGTTTTCCTCTCCACTGTCACTGTATGTATGCTTGGTGTGAAGGACTGCTGAAGAATCGACAACAAAATACAATCATAAATCATCACTCCAAGGTCACTGAGGAGGAGAATTTCCTGCAAGTCAATGGCTGTGTCTGAACGTCCCCACTATATAGGGGTTACACTATTTTATGAGTGTCCGAATGTCTAGTGGAATTTTTTTTTCTCCCACAATGCACCTTGAAAAGTAGTGTACATCGATAGTCAGTAGAAGAGCAGATATATTCCAGAATGTTTTTTAAGAGCTCTCCTAGCACACCATCATGGGATTTGTTTTGGGGATGAGATAGAACAAAGATGGCGCAGGCATCGAGTGGGGAGCTGCAGTCAAGTGACCAACGTGGAGCAAAAAGTAGTGATCATATGTCCAGATGGTCAGTTTACTGAGTTCATTATAAAGTCCACTATATAGTCCCTGCTCTATATGGTGATTCAAGTATTAAAGGTTAGGGCGTATGTTTGGACACAGCCAATTACTGGATACAATGAAGTGGTTTTCTTTGTTGGAAATGTTTTACCCATCAAGCAAAATTTGGTTGGAAAGACAACATGATTTACATCCAAACAATGTCTACATTTGGTTGTAAAGTGAAAGATGAAAAATCGCAATTTTCAGATTGTTGAAAAACATCCTTTACAGTGGACTTATTGGACTAAAGTTGGATAAAATAAAACCGCCGTAACACAGCCCAAATTTCAAATAGTGTTTGTAGGCTAAATTAAGACCATGACGGACCAACCAACTTTAGCCCGAAAACCAATGTCTAAATGACGTCTGGTGTTTGGGGGCTACCAATCTGACTATTGTCTCTTTAAAGTGCCTTAAAATGAATTGCGATGTGTATTGGCTCTATACAATTAAACTGAATTGAATTGAATAGAATTTAAAGTATGAAAGATAAATTACATTCAAAATGTGCCATTTGCTGCAGGATTAGATTTCCTGTAGTCAAAGCGGAAAAGTGACCCAAGGATTCATACGATGAGGGTTGGTTTGGGATTATGACAAACATTCTACCTCTTGCATTCATCGCCATTCATATCTGCAGATAATTTATATTTTTGGGCTATAATCTTACTTCACCTCTTGCAGAATTTTTTTTAATAACTACCTCTCAAATCAGCTTCCCATCTCTAAATGATAAGGGGCTGGGTTTCTTATCTCCCAGGCAGATTAAAAGTAAAGCATGTATGAAGAGCAAGGAGCCACTGTGTGCATGGAGAAGCTCTGTACTAGCCTTCAGTTTTCTTCAAAGCTCCTCTATGCCTTAATTATAGGCCGGCCTAATTTTTAGAAGCCTTAACAGAATCAAAGATGTACATGCGGTGCTCCCCTGTGTGTACTTAATCAGTTTTGCTATGTTTTATATAACCAGGGGTAATCCTCCTCTACATCCTCCCTCTGTTGCTCATCTAACATTTATTTTCATAGAAACAAACACTCTGTCTTGTTCGTTGAGCTGTTATTTCGATTCTACAATGACTGTTTTTCCGTTACAAAAGCACTCCCGGAAACGGCCTACCTCTGAGTGACTGCGCTTCAAATTGCTTATGAGATGCTTCTATTTTTAGGCTAATAGAGATGTTAAGTCGCTCTACAGATATGTCATGTCCAGGAGCGAGAGGAAGCTCTCCGACTTATCTATCAGCTCCACATATTACCAAAGAGAGGCAGAAAGGAATTTGATTAGGGTTAACCACCTTGGGCTCACTATTGGATTAGAGTGATTATCTTATCTATGAGTAAGACAAATAGCTTTGCACTTTACCTTCTGATCTGGCACATTCTTCTAAGTTGAAGCAGTGCTGCTCGCTCTCGAGGTGAAGAGGCGACAGTGTCCTTGCTTGTTAAATCTTGATTATCTAATTGCAAGATATAGTTTTGGACACTTTGTAATATATCTACCTTAATATTGTTTTTCAGGTATAAAGGCTTCATCAAGGACTGTCCCAGCGGACAGCTGGACGCCGTGGGCTTTCAGAAGATATACAAGCAGTTCTTCCCTTTTGGAGACCCCACCAAGTTCGCTTCATTTGTCTTTAATGTATTTGATGAAAATAAGGTTTGTAATGTAATTTTAAGTCACTGCTGATTGTAGTTAGTATTTAAATGGCCTGTATGTAGCTATGGAAGCTTCAGCTACTTGTCTCTGTCCTGCTCTTGGTTAAACGTGATTAATGGCCAGGCTTTCATCCAAATCTGATTTAAGTGAACCGTTGTTCCTGGAACATTATTTTATGTTTTTCTTGTAAGTACAGAGAATGTGTTTTGTGCAGAGTGGTATTCATTCATGTTCCTTTCCTTTCTTAAGGCTGTTTTTCAACGGTATTTAAAGGGTGAAGGGTTTTGAAAAAATGTAACCAAAGTGAATTGTCCAAGGCTGTTACAAATAGAATTTACAGGAAAATGGTTGCAGCCAAAAGCATTGACTGCATAACCCAAGAAAAGAATTTTGTAGCTTAATGTCAAATTTTGTTTGTGTAGGGTTCTTAAAGCTGCAGTCTGTAACATTGAGGAGAGAGCAGACTTCGACTGAAAATTTGAAGAAAAACAGGTTTCACTCCACTCCCCCACCCTCTCTGCTTCACTCATGCCCCACCTCCAAGCTCCACCCCTCTCACAGCATCTGCGCGGCTACCGCATGCGACCAGAAGGGGGGGGGGGGGGGGGGGGGGGGGGGCAGTAGGCGGGACAAATAGAAGCAGTTTTTTTCACAGGTTACATATCACATGTACTGCTGTCTGGGCATAGGGACAGTTTTAGCCAATATGACAAAAAAGTTATTTTTAAAAACTTACAGACTTCAGCTTTAAGCGGGCTTAAAAAATATGGATTTTAATTTTTTTTTCATTGGCCATGACTGAAACCCCCTACAAAAAAAATATAAATGCAGAAGTATAGGGGAAAAAACTCAGGTTTTTCAAATATTTCAGTTTCTTCAATTTTTTCAAGTATAAAAATGTCTTTCTGCTTAATATATGTAAAGATATTTAAATGATTTATGTTTAAATAACATGCTCTTTTCAGGTATTCATAACATAAGAATGGGATTTTAACAATTTAACCTTTAGTATTTTAAGTTTCCACTTACCAAATGCCTGCTTACTCAACAAGAATTAAACCAAAAATAGACACTTCATGCATAAATTAAGGACAAACTAGATTTGTGCTTCATAACTTACAAGTTAAATTCCTAAAAAGCTGCTGTTCTTCTTGAATTAGGTTAAAATAAGGTATTCGTGTTAACAGAAGGCTATAGAAATGGAGTAGAGAAAGTAGAGTTGTGATTAGTGAAACCTATAAAAAAAGAATACTAAAGAAGCAACAGATGCATTTCCTTTGCTTGTTTTTATGGGCCTACTTTTCATGAATATTTCAACTTCTCAGATTAAAATACGGAGCCTATCATGATCTAATGTTGGCCAATTAACAACAAACTCCACTGTAGCCCTACCCCTTCATCTGACGCCATTTGTAGGGAAAGCATTCTACAACAACGACATGCGGATCATTTTTATTTTTACAGTTCATGAAAAATTACCCCATTTTTTTTCAGATTACACATTAGAATAATCAATTCTGTGGGGAAAAATGAATTACTTTAGGGTTAGAATTAGGATTCATTCAGTGATAACAACCTACTGGGCCTCCTGGGAGGTAAAGCCATCCTATGGCACTGATTACTACTAATAATGTCCATTTAATAATATCCAAAATGGTTGCAAACAACAACTTAGTATTTACTGTGTACTAATGGAAGACAGAATCAAAATGATGAGGAAACTTAGGTTCTATCTATTAGAACAATGTTCCAATACATAGAACGTCTACTCTATTCTAAACAGAATACATTGATCCACTTCCATTCAAGAAATAAACAAATTTTCCAAGTAATATTATTGTGGTTTACAGGCTATGGCAAGCCGTTTATGTATTAGTTTGACTGAATATGTATTCCTGACATATTTTCCTTGTCTAAATGACCATTTCAAACAAAAATACATTATTTACATCTAGAATAATGTCTATAAATCCCTCCGCAGTGTTTGTTGGGGCTGCGTTTTCTTTTCTTTGAACATAGTTTCCATCATATTTGTTATTGAATTTTTGAATTTTTTCTATTTTAAGAGCAACATAAGCAGGTTTATCATGACGAGAGAAAGTGGCCATGCTCTGTGACAGTGATTCCTTCTTCCCATTTAGGAAAAGCACCTGTAAATATTTATTTTTTCTAATTTGATTCAGTCAAATGCTGGACATTGCTTCAGTTTGTGGGACAGTGGGAAAGAAGTAAAAAATATGTGGGACTGTCTCGCACAAATTGGGACATGTGGTCACCCTACGTTGGAAAATAACTTCTGATGGCTTCATTTGCTTGAAAATGCCATAATCTATGTCTGATATTACATTTATATACAAAGGTATTGTATGTGAAATTACTGTTATTAATTGCTCTTTTAAGTATCCTGATAATATTAGGTTTATTTCACTAATTCAGTAATCTTAAATTTGGTTTCAACCTAAATATATTCAAAGGTAATAGATACCTTTTCCATATGAGATCAGTCCCAAAGACGAGAAACTAATTCAGTTAAAAATCTATTAGCTAAAAGAAAATGACCTTCTTGGCCTGTAATAGTGGGCATGCAGCACCTTTTGTATTTACGTCTTTTCATGTGTTCACCTGTAATTCATAGCCTTGAAGACTGAACTGTTTGAAACCCGAGACTTTATGGACTCCCAAAGCCAGATTTTATTTACTGCAGTGGACCACAGAAGCTCCCATCACCCCCTCCCTCTGTGGTCAAGGAGGCTGAGGAGAGAATGTAAATAAAAGCAGGGCTAAGGGGAGCATTACATGGCAGGCTACATGCTAACCCACACAAACTGCTTCTGCCCAGTCTCTTACTGGCAAACCAAATAAGCTTAAGTCCTGATGTGGCTGGAGACTTTAATCATGTAGAACCAGAGAATTCAGTTCGCTGGACGTTTCTTGCAGCATTTTGGGAGCAAACAAGGCTGCTTCAGCTCTTCACTTTGGAGTGTCAGATCACATACATCTTGATGGAGCTGATTCCTGCCCACAGACCTCAGATCTGCAGGAAAACAAAAACTTAGCAGAATCATTCAGGTCTGGACTGAGGAGGTTTCCTTAGCTTTACAAGATTTCTTTTAGCACAAAGACTAGGGAGTGCTTAAAGATTATGCTGATCTGGAAAAAAAAAATCCTCTCTGCTAACCTAAATATTCAGTCCTTCCCTTTGATTATCTGAAACTTGTTTTTAGATCACTGATAGCCTGGCCTATAGCAGGGCCCAGGAAGAATTGAAAAAGGGCAAAACAGGTACAGACAGTGCATTGAAGATTGGGTAATAGGCAACATCAGGATATTCAAGATTTCTTCATCAATGATTGTTCCAGCAGGACTGAGGATGTCACTAAGTTATCTTCACTTTAAAAAAAAGATCAACACTATCAAGACCTCAGGTCCAGAAATGTGTGGATCCTGAAAGCATGTGCTGATCAACTTGTAGTTTTTTTTTTTTTTCTGGACATCTTGGACGTCTACAACACCTCTTAGTCTTGTCCACCTGAAGTGCTCGGTCATTGTGCCTGTGCTCCATAAACAAAAGCATACCTGCCTTAATGATTACCTGTCACTCTGACCTCAGTCATCATGAGGTGTATAAAGTACATCAAAGACACATCCTTGATGGCCTGGTCAGCCTGCAGGTCATTTATGGGGAGAAGTGTCTTCCTGAAGAGGCTGTTTAATAATCAGTTCACATGGTCTTGGCCTATGTGCAGCATCCTACCTGGACATATTCCCCCTGACATGCTTTCACCATCGCATGCTGGTATCAGATAGACTACAGTATTAACCCATTTCATATAAAGGACTTATTCTGCTGCACCCATGAACTACATTTCCTACACTTACACTCTGTCTTCCATCTATCTGGAGCACAGGGACAGCAGTCTGATCAGAGAGTCCCAGACTTCCCTCTCCCACACGCCTCCCCCAGCCTCTCTGGGGCTGAAGCCCCAGGCTCTACCTTTCAGTCTACATGGTTTTCTCTTAAGGGTGTTTTATTTTTTGTACCACTGTTTCTGATCGTGTCTCTGTATTACATGCTTCTTATGAGAGTCTGCAGAATATTTCACAAATTGGTTCCTTAATGACAGTAGATGTTCTTGATGTTTGGAGACTGGCTGAGTAGAATGTATTTTGGTTTGCTTGGGGCTAGGCTGGATAAAATATACACACAGAGCACCGACAGGTATTTGGAGTTGAACTGAGTTAGGAGCACAGATACTGATCATTTAGGGGTGTGTGGATTGGTTTGTTATCTGACCCTAGGGGATAGATGCTATTTGACAGTTTGGAATGTCTCTTAAAGTTGTTGCAGATTATATTATCATTACTTCTATCACAATCAACCTGTTGCTTATATTTATGAGTATGATAAAGAATGTTTAAGCAAATCTAAACTATTGTATGTATTGTATTTATTCTAATTGTGTTTACGCCATATAACAATCAAAAAAGGGTGTGTGTGGGGGGTTGCTTGTGTGACCCCTGGAGGATCAGATAAGTGGGTTTTGGAAAGCTCTCTACGTCAGTCAATTTTATCTCATGTTAGGTACCTCGTAGTTAGAGAATGCGTCGCTCTCCATTTTTATAGCTGATGTCATCAACGGTGGAGGGCTTTAGCATTTTTTAGCTTGGCAGATGTCTAGAAGAGATAAAATTAGCTGACCTCAATGGCCGTCTAAAGCGCCTGGCTGACGAGTGGGACCAGAGGGTTTCACAGGTAGACGGCTGTTGGTGAGGAATGTGGGAAACCCATTGAAGTGTGACAGCAGTCTCTAGTGCTTCTAATCGGAATATGATGAAAGATCAACTCTGAGAACTTCACCATTTGAAGATCAGTCATAATTTCTGCTCAACATGCGTACAACATGTTTTTATTTTCGATATGTGTAAAATTTCTCTTACACTATTTGCTTTTTGCAAAGGAGAGAGTTTAAGATTTCATGACTGATTTGAGCTACTTAATGCCTTCCAACAAATATGTTTGTCTTCTACCCTGTTCTCTCTCTGTCGTGGCCCTTACAAAAAAATAGGGAAATATGCAATATTAGGAGCCTAATTCATAGATTTCATGTGGATGGATGAATTTAAAATGGTATGAAAGCTTAAACATGTAAATCAGATTAGATGGGTTTCTCCCTCTTTCCACTGCAAAAAATTGAAATCTAAATAAGTAATTTTTTTTCTTAAAATACGGTAAGTGCATTTTTTCTTGAATTGAGGAAGTAAGTGAGACACTTTGCCAATGAAACAAGACAATTTACATTTAAAATAACAAAAAATATATATATTATTGTCTTATTACAGGTGCATCTTCTAATTATCTTATTTTAAGAGTAAAAATACTTATTCCATTGGCAAACCATCTTATTTACCTGCTCAAATTGAGGATACAAATTTAAATTTTTTTTATTTCTTGGTCGTTTTTGCAGTGTGGATCTTCTGTTTTTTTACACATCTAATCATAATAAGGAATATTCTAAATAAGTAACATCTTTGACACCAAAAAACACAGATTATTTTTGTTATGTGTGATTCTTAGGAAATGAACCAGTCGCATCCATCTCACTAATGACCAGAGGTGACATATTTCAGCCTCAGGAGAGAGCCAGGTGCTGGGCAAAAAATAGCAGCTCACTTGGAGCAAATGTCTGGCCCACTTTTCAGCACAGTGCAGAAAGGACACCACGAAGGAACAGAAACAAAGTTAATTAAAGTACAGTTAGACAAAGTGTGATGTAGGATGGTCACTTTATCCACAGATGATTACATTCTGATTCTGTCCCTTTTGTCACCCCCTAGGATGGCCGCATCGAGTTCTCCGAGTTCATCCAGGCCCTGTCAGTGACCTCCAGGGGAACTCTGGATGAGAAGCTTAGATGTAAGAAGACACTCTTCTAAAATTTCTACATTAAAATGACAGGATTTGGCTTTAATTGGGCTGCTTTACCCATTAAGTAGGACAGGTGGGTTTAAAACAAAACCAACTATAAAACTTTAGATAGTGTATCCTTCTTCAGCCTTCATCTTTAATGCTTCCAATGAACTAGAAGAGTCATCCATAACCCTGGGACTCTGGGTTTACTGTCTGTGATGTGTCTGTCCCTTCAACGCTCTGATTCAAATCACAGTATTAGCTCCTGCATAGCATTATTTGCTTTGGAAGTCTGTTAACCACCAATTTATTCGGGGAGAAAACATCAAAAACATGCCTGACCTGAGGACCAGGCTTTACAAATCCTGAACTTGAGCATCTTCAGAAACCAATAAATAAACCTAATGAAGATCGCCCTGTAAATCACTTGTTGTATTAAAATAGAAACCATTAAAACCATTAAAATAGAAACCATGTCCATCATATTTATCTGGAGGATAACTTTTTGCAAAAGTATTCATACCCCTCAAACATTTTCCCATTCCAGCCTCATACAGTGTTTTGTTCTGTTGGTTTTAATATTAAAACTTAAAACAAAGTAGCATAGAATTTGAAAGTGAAATAAAATATGTTTTTTAATTGCTTTTCAAGTTAAAATAAAAACTGTGGGTTGTTTTTGTAATTTTACAAATGTAGAAAATCCTTTGCAAAATAACTAAAGAAAAGTCATTTATATATATATGGAGAGAGTTTTAAGCGCAGATAGTATGGGAGAATTATCCTGCCATAATGCAAGAGCACATAATTTCAATTTGAGAAAAGAATTTCATCTTCTTGCACTCAAAACTTATAATGCTCACACTCAAAACATGCGCTCTCTCTCAAATATTTTTTCTTCTCTCTCAAATCTTTGTTTCTTCTCTCAGATTTAATGCTTCTTGCACAGATATTTTCTCCTCTCGCTTGCCTCCTTCTCTTCGCGCACAAACCGCGCTTTCATTCTTTGCTTTTGTACATAACAAACCACTAATTGTTTAAAATTACTTACTTCAGAATTGTTTGGGTTATCCATAAGTACTGAACTTTGCTGAATCAAGCCACAAAACTACTATAAATCGCAGTTTCAGCTGACACTCTTATAAATGGCGTAGTAGCACAGGCACACTCAGTAGGGTTATACAAGCGCACCCTTTCTGAGGCTGTCGTTCTATTGGCTGGAAAGGTTGCTAGGCGACGATCCAACTGCAGTCGGAGAGAGAGCAAAAAAAATCCGCAAGCAGAGCCTACGGGTTTGCGAGCGTATCTGAGACTCGAGCAGAGCGCGGTTTGTGCGCGAAGAGAAGGAGGCAAGCGAGAGGAGAAAATATCTGTACAAGAAGCATTAAATCTGAGAGAAGAAACAAAGATTTGAGAAAGAAGAGAAAATATTTGAGAGAGAGCGCATGTTTTGAGTGTGAGCATTATAAGTTTTGAGTGCAAGAAGATGAAATTCTTTTCTCAAATTGAAATTATGTGCTCTTGCATTATGGCAGGATAATTCTCCCATAAGATAGAAGTCTAACTGGATTCTAACTTCTAACTTTGGTTCTGCGGCACAATTATGCACTAATTTGTAATGGTGTGTTGCATAAAAACAAAACCAATAAATTGAGGTTTATGTTAAAATAGTGACAGATTTCTCAAGTTCCCAAGTTTTAATGCTTGAATATTATTGTTTTTTCTCACAGGGGCCTTTAAATTGTACGATCTGGACAATGACGGCTACATAACTCGGGATGAAATGTTGAACATTGTAGATGCCATTTATCAGATGGTGGTAAGTATGGAGCCTGGTATCCCCTCTGGTCCTGATTAGTCAGAGTGATCTGAAGGGTAATTATGTGGTGTCTATCTTAGGGAAACACTGTGGAGCTGCCAGAGGACGAAAACACTCCAGAAAAGAGAGTAGACCGCATTTTTGCAATGATGGACAAGGTTGGTATATATTATCACACTTGAAGCTACAGCCCTTCACACGACCATCAAACTTTATGTAATGTGCAGCAATAATTATTAGTTTAGCATTAATTCAGCTAAGTCTGCCTTTGTTGCTAACATCACAGCTTTGATGCAGGCACTGTTGAGCTCAGAGCTGGTAGTTGTAGCCAACACAGTATCGCTGACACTGCCTGCAGTCTATAAACATCATTTACAGTCACCTTCAGCGCTCAGTGCTAGGAATCTCTCAGCTGTAGTGAAAGATGAGATGCAGCTCACTCCCGCCAGCATTAGCCAACAGGGCTACTGGTGCAACCTTTAGTCATTTCTATGGGGAGAGTGGTCTCTAACAAGGTTCACTGAACTTAGGATCACTTTATCAGCATACAACAATAGCAGTGCAGTGAACCTGGTCTCATTTGATTGCTTTGCTGCATTTACACATTAGACCAGGCATCCCCAAAGTCTGTCCGCGAGGCCCGCTGTCCTGCAGGTTTTAGAGGTTTCCCTACTCCAGCACAGCTGATTTTAATTGAAAGCTGATTAACAGACTTTTGCTTAACTGCAATCATCATAATCAGCCGTGCTAAAGCAGGGAAACCTCTAAAACCTGCAGGACAGCGGGCCTCGAGGACAGACTTTGGGGATGCCTGCATTAGACCATTAAAACTTTAGTGTGAGATTCAGATTTCACTTTGATTCATTTGGATAAACCAGCACAAAGTAATGGACTGTTAATACCAAAAGCAAGTGGAGTACAGTGTGATCATATATTCAGTTTACTAAGAAAAATCCTTCATTATCAGCACTAGTACAGCTGTTCTTTCTTCAAAGGTTAGAGGAAAAACGATCACAGCTGTCAGACCAGATATAAAGGTAGAAAGTAAAACCAGGGTGAGGTAATGTTAAAATAAGGGAGATCGTTTCAGAACTAGAAACTTTTAAAATATTGTGAGCTACCCAAACTAACAGGACAGATAACAAGAGCTCTAAATTAAAATCAGTTCAATTAAACAAACTCCGATTAACAACGTACGCCATCACAGGGTAGTTTACATAGAAAGTTCAGTAAAACCTTAGGTGTAACCTTTGATTGGTGCACAGTCTTTCATCTAAATAAACCGGCCGACGGCATCGAATCATAAACTTTGCAGAATTTCCTCCTTTTGGATGAGCAGGTAAAGACAGTTCACATTTGCTTACACATTGAGTAATTTCCATAACCATTTAATCGAGCAAATTGTAATTCCAAAAAAATACATTTGTTCAATGAAAACACTGGAATCTCAAAAAAAAGTTTTTTACGCATCAATGAGGCTTTTTTTTTTTTTTTTTGGCTGTATAGAAATTATTTTTCACAAAACTGCAATGAAAACACTTTTTTCGCATTTCACGAGTCACATGATCTGTAACTGGACTTAACTGCCTTCTAGGGCTACAACTAATCGGATAGCCAAAGGTTCCTTAAAGAAGATTTTTTTATTAACTTAAGTGGAAAACTTAAATAAAAGTTTTCCACTTGAGGACCTCTGCATAGAGCATATTGACAGACGGAATTATTTTAATTCTTAAATGCAAAATGTTTATATATATATATTTTTTTTACAATTACTGCTCTAAATGGGTTGCTCTGTCAGTAAAGGCATGTGTTAGTCTCTATACTCCAGTTAACGATTAATCGATTACTAAATTAGTTGACGATTATTTCAATAATTGATTAATCACGATTAATCCGATTAGTTGTTTCAGCCCTAGTGCCTTGTAAAAAGTCAAAGAGGAAGAGGGAAAGTAGTTGGATGATGGCGCCCTCTTGAGCCATGGCAGAATTATGGATAAATCTCATAAAAACAGAAAAATGCCATGTTGTTTTCAGAGGTATTGCATAAACAAACGTATTCACGTCCAATTTTAATTGTTTTTGCTATATCATGAAAATACTGCAACTTTGGTTTTGCTCCCATTTGTAAAGGAAATGCAACCATTTACTGCAGCAATCCTTCACACTGAGCATGCATGCAGCGACAGTGGAAAGAAAAAAACTCCCCTTTAACAGGAGGAAACCTCCAGTAATTAATAAGGCATTAATAAAAAAAAACAGACCAAAGGCCCAGAGAGGAGCTCCTTAGATCCACAGCTGACATCACATAATATTGGACGCTTTAAGGGCTTTGATTTCACACCTCACTGATGTTTTTAAGTTGATAATTTCAAGGGTTCTGGTTTCATTATGTTTCCTGTTGCAGAATGCAGATGGGAAGCTTACTCTACAGGAGTTTCAGGAAGGTTCAAAGGCAGACCCTTCTATTGTCCAGGCACTGTCCCTCTATGATGGACTCGTGTAGGAATGGATGGCGAGTGAAGGAAGATGAGCTGGAACGCTCCTCTGCCCCTCGATCCCAGGTCATTCCTTAAAATCTGTTAACGCAGTAGAACTCCTATTCCATCCGAGCCGACCGTGGAAAACAGAAGAAAAGAGTGGAAGCCGCTGTCGGCTCACAGTTTGCTCTCATGAATTATTCAAATGGCCCACTTGTTTACTGGCAGTGTAATATTGTTGCAGTAGCGAATAAAGATGGAAACAGCCCTCACATCTCACTGCCTAATGTAATGCACTGGCTGCTGCCAATTGTGGCTGACATCCTGCTCGGTGTTTTGTCAAGTGTGAAGCGAGCTTGTGAAGACATATGCATTGTGTGTAAAAGCTCTGTTCGGTTGCTATCTAGCTAGCACCAAACACATCCAGGTGTTATGACCCTGCTCTGGTGATCCGTCTCTTAACTCTTCAGATGGGTCCAATTAACGCCCTCCTGCTTTTTGCACGCCGACGCCTGCCCATCACATCCTAATCACCCAAAACAAGGACTACAAACTTTTACTGCACAGGCATGCAGCCACTGCGTCCTCTTGTTTGTGCTCCATAAAGATAGCAAACATAAATTTCCTCTGATGTAATGGAGAATGCTAAGTTGCTCACCCAACCCCAGTCATCAATCAGTGCTTCTACAGCTGCGCAGCACACCAGCGTCGTAGACTGCGTTTCAACTTCTCTGGGAGCGAAGTGCTGGATAATCCGAGGAACGGGATCCCTCAGTGATGCTTGAGTTCTTACATCCATCATCAGAACAGCTCAGAAGGACCATCCTGCTGCTGCTTCATCCACATTCAGAGAGACTCTACATCTCACGCCGGAAAAATGTGTTAGACAACACTGAATTAAAACTACGAAGCAGTAAAATGTGCTGCATATTATAATGTAAATATAATGGTAATTTATTTTCTGCTTTGCTGCATTTATGAGACTTTCCTCATAAATATAGAATGATTTTTATTTTTGTTTTTATCAAAGGTGTTGAAATGTGTTGCACTGTATTTTTCATTACCATGGTGGGAGCATTCTTTTTCTCTCATTCAGAGGTTCGTTTTTCCTGAGAGAAGAGGAATGTTTAAGAAGCACAGAGTTTTCTAAGGGTGATTTTTATTGCGTTTGCTGTCTGTGCACCCTGTTGTGTTTTAATTTCCCTGTTAGCATGAGTGTATACTATTGACCCTGTTGCACAACTACATCCTGAATGACACGGCCTGAACAACAGAGAGCATTCCCACAGCTTTACATCAGAATTGATGCCGGGCGTTTCTTTTTGAGGGCGCCGCACTCCACCCTTGGCAACACAAAGCCCGGGTCACCAAGAGGCGCAAACAAGACATCAGCTTTGGTTGTAAAGCTTTAGTGAGGGCTGTTTTTTGTCCTGTGAAAAGCCAGAGCATGTGATGATTCCTTTTTTTTTTACATGTAGATTATTTATTTTAGAACATTTCAGTGTTTTTCAACCTCACTAATAGTTTTTTGCATTAAGCAAATTATGATTTACTAGATTATCTCTTCATCAGTGTAAGAGCACAGAATAAAATGCATTTAAGTGATATTTATATTTCTGATTTTAGGTTTGAATGGATAGAAAGCAGTGTTTCCTTTTTCTATAGCAGTATTTGGGATTAATTTAAGGGGCTTTTTGTATTGTAACTGTTCAAATGTTGTTGTTTTTTAGAATTTCAAATACCTGGATTATATTCCTATTTGGAGAATATTATTGAAGTTTGCACAGATCGCATTAAGGCAGAAATGGGATGTGTTCTGGGTTCAGTGTTGCACTGTGCAACATCACATGTAATGAAAAGTGTCATGTTAAGCTTTATTGCCTGTTATTGCCTTGCAACATAGAATTTAACATGCCATCTTACTCTGTAGTGTAAGCCTGCGCTGTATGGCCTTGAAATGAACAATGAAATGTATAAAACTGTGGCATGTTGCAGCAATGGATGAATTACTGAGACCTGTCAGCTTTTGAGTTTCTTCTGCCGCATTTCTGATCAAAGACAGATGAGATCCCAGAGGAGTGAAAAATCCAGATTTTTAACTGTTCTGTCATTTTAACCCCATCCTCCCAGTTTTTTTTAGCATGTGATACTAAAAATTGCAGTAAAACACAAGTGTGTTTGAAAAAAAAACGCGAGCCTTGTGATTAAAAACTGAACTGATTTAAAAAAACGAAATATTTTGTTGGAAAACATTCAGCTATGTAAGTGCTATCATGATTTTATCAAGAGCTCGGACACACATGCAGATAAACCAATCCAGAGGGACAAGGGGAAAAGTTTTAACAGGTTTATTGAGAAGTTTTGTGGAGATTCCAGTGTTGCTCTGAACACTGCTCAACCGGAACTGAAAGGTGAGGGGAAGACACTGCGTTTAGTTCAGGTTCAGTTGGAAAATTGGTTCTCGAACTTGAAAGGAGGAAAGGTAGGCAGACTCACGTTTCCAGAGAATTGGTTGACTCTTAGACTCCAGTAGGTGAGGAATGTGTTCCGGTGTTTGTCTCATACGGTGGAGGGCGGACAGGGTTACCCAGAATGCGGTTGCTTGTAGATGAACGGAGAAGTCTGACTGCCACTCAGATTTTCTGTGGTACTTGAACGGACTGCGGTGCAGATGAATCCCTTGCTCAGTGTGAAACTCCAACGATTCCTCAGGGGAAAGTGGATCCAAACCTCCGGTTTGTATCCCCAGCTCAGTTTGAAGCTCAGTAGATCCTTCCTGGGAGAGAAGGTCCGAAAATCTAGTTTGCAGGATGACTTCCTACCGAGAGAAAAAAACAAAAATAACAACGTTAAGACTCAGGTTGACAAAAACTCAGTTTGACTCAGCACAACTCAGCTTGGCTAGAGTACCCAAAACTGGCAAACACTGGCGTCGAAATAGTGGCAGTCAGCAGCTTAAGTAGGGTTTTCATTTCGGAAAACCAGGACAGCTTGGAGAGCGGGGGGGTGGAATCTCTGTTCCCATGCATAGAGATGTCTGTGGCATGCACTCACTTACGTAACATAGGCCTACGTAATCCTACAATTACATATTTACAGTTTATTTATTAAAAATGCTTTTCAGTATAAGTCAACAGCAATAACTCCAATAACAAACAATAATTTTATTCAAAATGTATTTTTTAAAAATGCTTAACAATTCCTGTAATGAATGAATAGCACAATGAAAGAAATAATGTCTCATCTAAACATCCCTCACTTAACAATAAAAGTTAATAACTCTCAGCTCCCAATAAAACATGATACTCAGCCTCAGCAATGAATGAAATAATGTCTGTTCTGTAGGCTATTGGAAAAAATAAATTAGCAAATGAGCTAATTAACAAAAAATACCTCTTGTGTAGCAAAAATAACTCAAAATGTACCAAAAATGAACAAACATATCAATAGACTATCTTTACTTTCGGTGTCCAGGTGGCTTTTCAGATCCCTTGCACCTCCATTGGACACCGAGACATATGTGCCTGCTTTGCACACTGTGGACAAGGCCTCCCGTTTGTCTTGACCTGGTCTGAAAGCGGGGAAACTTTTGTAAATCGTCGGTAAACATACACTATATTGCCAAAAGTATTTGCTCACCCATCCAAATTATTGGAATCAGGTGTTCCAATCACTTCCATGGCCACAGGTGTATAAATTCAAGCACCTAGGCATGCAGACTGTTTTTACAAACATTTGTGAAAGAATGGGTCGCTCTCAGGAGCTCAGTGAATTCCAGCGTGGAACTGTGATAGGATGCCACCTGTGCAACAAATCCAGTCGTGAAATTTCCTCGCTCCTAAATATTCCACAGTCAACTGTCAGCTGTATTATAAGAAAATGGAAGTGTTTGGGAACGACAGCAACTCAGCCACGAAGTGGTAGGCCACGTAAACTGACGGAGCGGGGTCAGCGGATGCTGACGCGCATAGTGCGAAGAGGTCGCCAACTTTCTGCAGAGTCAATCACTACAGACCTCCAAACTTCATGTGGCCTTCAGATTAGCTATAGAACAGTGCGCAGAGAGCTTCATGGAATGGGTTTCCATGGTCGAGCAGCTGCATCCAAGCCATACATCACCAAGTGCAATGCAAAGCGTCGGATGCGGTGGTGTAAAGCACGCCGCCACTGGACTCTAGAGCAGTGGAGACGCGTTCTCTGGAGTGACGAATCGCGCTTCTCCATCTGGCAATCTGATGGACGGGTCTGGGTTTGGCGGTTGCCAGGAGAACGGTACTTGTCTGACTGCATTGTGCCAAGTGTAAAGTTTGGTGGAGGGGGGATTATGGTGTGGGGTTGTTTTTCAGGAGCTGGGCTTGGCCCCTTAGTTCCAGTGAAAGGAACTCTGAATGCTTCAGCATACCAAGACATTTTGGACAATTCCATGCTCCCAACTTTGTGGGAACAGTTTGGAGCTGGCCCCTTCCTCTTCCAACATGACTGTGCACCAGTGCACAAAGCAAGGTCCATAAAGACATGGATGACAGAGTCTGGTGTGGATGAACTTGACTGGCCTGCACAGAGTCCTGACCTCAACCCGATAGAACACCTTTGGGATGAATTAGAGCGGAGACTGAGAGCCAGGCCTTCTCGTCCAACATCAGTGTGCGACCTCACAAATGCGCTTCTGGAAGAATGGTCAAAAATTCCCATAAACACACTCCTAAACCTTGTGGACAGCCTTCCCAGAAGAGTTGAAGCTGTTCTAGCTGCAAAGGGTGGACCGACGTCATATTGAACCCTATGGATTAGGAACGGGATGTCACTTAAGCTCATATGTGAGTCAAGGCAGGTGAGCAAATACTTTTGGCAATATAGTGTATATTTGCGCTTTTGCATGTTGTTGGCGTACTGACAGCCACGCTATCTATATTCGGATTAAGCACAGGGCTGCCCGCTCTGAAGCGGCTCAGGGATTATGTCACACACAGCGCAGTGTCCTAGTGCCTGTAAATGTAATGGTCCAATTAAGGTAATTTAAAAAATCAGGACATTTCCTCACTTTCTAAAAAAAACCCGGGACGCCCAGGACAGGACGTGAAATACAGATATGTCCCGGGAAATACGGACATTTGGCCACCCTGGCTTAAGAGCACTCCGTTAACGAGGTAACCCCTTGCATGTGTAAGAGGAGGGGAATCAGAACCAGGCGTCGCCTGGTGGAGGAAGGAAGACAAACACACAAAAACACAGACCACACAGACTGGAGTCCTAACATGTTCTTGCTCCGGTG